TGCCTGCCGGTTCAGCTTGTTCCTGCTTTGTTTCGCTTGAGGCACTTTTTACCTTATGCCAGTAAATCCTCGAGCAGCTGGCACCCAGACGCAGCACCGCCAGCCCAAGCGCTTTTTACCTTCTGCCAGTAAATCTTATGCCTCGCGAAGCCGCGCAGACATGCAGCCTAACGGTCAGGCAATCAAGCAACAGCCAGCAGTGCTGGTTCTCCGAGTCAGCGGTAGCCGAGTCAGTGGTAGCCGCCCGTGACGGCGGCGACGCCGCAGCAATGCCCAAGGACCGGCGTGACCCGACCGATGCCGGGGAGGAAGCAGGCGAGCTCGGACCAGCAGCAAGCACCCCAGTGGTGTCGAGCTCTCCGGAGGCACCCGACGCTGTGGACTGTGTACCTGCAGACGCCTCGCCAGCTCCGCGCCGATCGTCGAGGCCACTCGAAGGGTGTCCCCCATCGGAGTCGGAGACCTCCGGCGAAGACTCCTCGGGCGACTCGACAAAGTCCGAGGAGGAGCTGTCCTCTGGCTCGAGAAGTGCTTGCGCCCGCAAGGGCGTCATGCGCCTCGCACCAGACAAGAGCGCCTCCAGCGTCAGCTGCATAGTGAGGCGCTGATAGGTGGCGGCGCGTTTGCGAGCCATAGGATTCACTGGCAGAAGATAGCGGGCTTGTGTTTTGTGTGTGTTTGTGCAGCTTCTCGCTGTGGACTGTGTGCCTGCCGGTTCAGCTTGTTCCTGCTTTATTTTGCTTGAGGCACTTTTTACCTTCTGCCAGTAAATCCTATATACCGATCGGCGCGGAGCTGGCGAGGCGTCTCCGACGTCTAAGGGATTTTATTCCTCCTGCATGCTCCTGCTGCTTGTTGCTTGATTGCCTGACCCTTAGGCTGCTTGTCTGCGCGGCTTCTCGCTTGGGCTGGCGATGCCGCGTCTGGGTGCCAGCAGTGCTGGTTCTTTTCGGGCTTGTGTTTTGTGTGTGTTTGTGCAGCTTCTCGCTGTGAACTGTGTACCTGCCGGTTCAGCTTGTTCCTGCTTTGTCTTGCTTGAGGCACTTTTTATCTTCTGCCAGTAAATCCTATATTCTTCCTGGAAGCAGCCGACTGACCACTGTCAGTCGAGAGTAAATCCATATTCCTCGTCAGTCGAGACGTCCGCTGCCGCCACAAAGCGGGCGACCGCGGACGGAGAAAGGGCAGCCGCCGACAAGGAGCCGGCGTTGCCCGGGGGTCCGCCAGGGGCAGCGGACGGAGGGAGGCTGGACACAGGAACACGGTACTGCTCGAGGTAGTCCTCCTCGCTAGCCTCCGGAACAGATAGGATTTACTGGCAGAAGGTAAAAAGTGCCTCAACGAGTCAGCGGTAGCCGAGACAAACACCGCCCGGGATGGGCGCGGCGGCGACGCCGCGGCAATGCCCAAGGACCGGCGTGACCCGACCGATGCCGGGGAGGAAGCAGGCGAGCTCGGACCAGCAGCAAGCACCCCAGTGGTGTCGAGCGCTCCGGAGGCACCCGACGTCACAGTGAGGGACGGAGACGCCTCGCCAGCTTCGCGCGTAGA